GGCTGAAGCCAGGAGTCAGGAACTTTATCTGGGTTTCATGCCCAAGCAATTGGGCGATCTTCTGCTGCTTTCCCAGGTGTATTAGCAGGGAGCTAGATCAGAAGTGGAGCAGTCAGGACCAATGCTCCTATGGGATGCAAGTGCCTCAGGAGGAAGCTTTACCCACTATGCCACAGTACTAGCCCTGCTTGAGAACCGCCATCCTGCATGTTATTACAAAGCTCCCCTGGCCAGCGCCGTAGCTCAATAGGCTAATCCTCCACCTGCGGCACTGGCACACGGGGTTCTAGTCCCGGTCGGGGCGCCGGATTCTGTCCCAGTTGCCCCTCTTCCAGGCCAGCTCTCTGCTGTGGCCAGGGAGTGCAGTGGAGGATGGCCCAAGTGCTTGCGTTCTGCACCCGCATGGGAGACCAGGAGAAGCACCTGGCTCCTGGCTTCAGATCAGCGCGGTGTGTGGGCCGCAGAGTGCCAGCCGCAGCGGCCATTGGAGGGTGAAGCAATGGTAAAGGAAGACCTTTCTCTCTGTCTCTCTCTCTCACTGTCCACTCTGCCTTTAAAAAAAAAATAATTAAAAAAAAAAAAAGCTCCCAAGCTGGTGTGTTTCTCCTTTTTATCTTCACTTGGGCTTGTTTCCTATTCTTTCTCCACCACATTGCAATTTTTCTCTCCATCGTAGCAAAGCACAATTTTATCTCATTCCATCCTCATATGTCACATGGTAATGTGTTTGGACTCTGAAGACAGATTGTTCCAGTTCAATTTTCTGTCCACTGTTTGAACCACCATCTTCTCTCTCAGATATTGATTGGGTAGCTTTATATCTCACTGCGAAGTGGAGATGATAATATTCCTTGCTTCATAAAGGCATAGTAAAATTTAAAGGAACAATAATAGGTATACTAACTCAAAAGTGTTCATAATAGGGACTGGAATTGTGCCTTAGCTGTTGAGGCTGCAACCTGCAATGCCAGCACCCTGTATGGGGCCAGATCTTGTCCCAGGTACTCTACTTCTTATCCAGCTCCCTTGTAATGGCCTGGGAATGGTAGTGAAAGAGAACACAAGTGTCTGAGCCCCCACCACCCACGTAGGAAACCCGGATGAAGCTCTAAGCTCCCGGTTTCAGATTGGTCCAGCACTGGCTACCGCGGCCATCTGGCAAGTGAACCAGAGGATGGAATATCTCTGCCTCTGTAGCTCTTTCAAATAAAAATAAACAGATCTTTAAAAAACTGTTTAAAATCTAAACAGACACAGAGGGAATACAAAACAAATATAACTTGCTTTTACATTAGTCATGATGATAATTATAATGATTATAATCACTAGGGGTAATTATCCAGGAATTCCTCTGCTCCTTTGCTGAATCTAATATAACTTCCCCTAAATTATATTAAATTTCTAGACTACTTCATATTTTTAATGACTACTTTCCTCATATGTCACCTTTTGGAAATTTTCAATGCCAAATTATTCTCCTAATTTTCGAAAATTGCCTCAAAGACCCCTTTAATTTCCAGTCTTCATCTTATTTCTTCAAAACTGGTGTTTCTGGGGCCAGTGCTGTGGCACAGTGGACTAAACTGCCTCTTGCAGTGCAGGATCCCATATGCATGCCAGGTAGGGACCCTGCTGCTCCACTTTTGATCCAGCCCTGCTAATGCTCTGGGAAAGAAGTGGAAGATGGCCCAAATCCTTCTGCCCTTGCACCCAAGTGGAGACCTGGAAGAGGCTCCTGGCTTTGCCCTGGCTCATCCCTGGCTAGTGAGGCCATTTGGCAGTGAACCAGTGGATGGAAGATCTGTTTCTCTCTCCATCTCACCTTTCTCTCTCTCTCTCTCTCTCTATATATATATATATATACATCTATATATAATTCTGCATTTTAAATAAATAAATCTTTAAAAAATGGTGTTTCTGAGGATTCAAGATAAAACTCCCAAAAATAATTAATCCATTTTACCTGAATTCAACTAAGGAAAAGATCATCCAGAAAATGAAAAGTACCTTACCTTTTAGTGAATGTCCCCATCTAATAATTACTCTAATATTTATTGAATGTTCACTGTGTGTCAAAAGTTGAGCTAGATGTTAAGAGGGAAGTTGTGAATTGACACATTGTCTTGTCATTATTTGCCTGGAACAATAATTAATCAGAAAGACTGCTATCAAGTGAGACCTCTCTTCTTCCTACTTAAATATATTCAATAGTTTTCCATTTGACATAATTTATGCTTTCCTTTCATTCTCTCTTGTATTGAATCAACTATGTTATTTTGGTTCCTAAATATCTGCCCAGATGAGTCACTTGGGACATTTCCTTTCATTCTCTCAGAATGCTCATCCTCGCAATCCTTCAGTTCTCTGTGCAACCACTACTAAATACCACACCGACTCAAATATCTCAGATTGTATTCCCCAACAGCACCAACTAATACTTTTCATGGAAAGTGTTAATTACCATTCCTGGAATCTATGTGACACTGTGTTAGTGTCTGTCCCCTCTCATACATTGGAAGCTCTGTGCAAATATGGACTGCCTGGAATGAGGCTTTGCTCATCTTTCTCATCTTGGGGTATCTCATATGGAGCAATGCAGTGAGAGCATGAGGCACTCAAAATACATACATTTGTTAAATAACAATGAGTATGTTGACTTTTTCATTATATATTCTTAATCTAGGTTTGACAGTCCTGAGAATGTAAGATGTCAATGAGAAAATACACTTGTTGAGACACTTATGTTTTATGTATACCAGTGATGATGATTGCTCTGTAAATATTTAAGTACTTCAAGCTGTGCTTAGCAATCTCCTTTGGTAAGATTTAAAAGACAAGTTCATGTTCACTTTTAAGTAAATATGAAACTATTATCATAAATAACGCAAATAGTAAAATATACAAAATACACACATAGTAGATAGATGATAGATAAATATATGGATTCACTTTACCATGTAAAGTTTCATATTGGGATTAAATTTCTCAGTCTATGTTCTGAACATATTCTAAAGTCAATCAGTTAGAATATTTGTTAAAATGACAAATGTCTCAGTCCCCTTCCAGTCTTACTACACCAAAATATATGAATCCAGGTTCGAAAGACATGAATTTCCTCTTATTCTCAAACTAAAATCTTAGCACATAATACACTAAGGCACTGCATTGGGAGTTCCATTTAGAACCTATTGCATTAATTGTCTGCATTCCCATTTATTTTTACAAGGGCACCAGTGTTTTTTTTTTTTTTTTTTTTTTTTGTTTGTTTGTTTGTTTGTTTTTTTGACAGGCATAGTAGACAGTGAGAAAGAGAGACAGAGAGAAAGGTCTTCCTTTTCTGTTGGTTCACTCCCCAATGGCTGCTGCGGCCGGTGTGCCAGGTGCTTCCTCCTGTTCTCCCATGCAGGTGCAGGGCCCAAGGACTTGGGCCATCCTCCACTGCACTCCCGGGCCACAGCAGAGAGCTGGCCTGGAAGAGGAGCAGCCGGGACAGAATCTGGAGCCCCAACCGGGACTAGAACCTGGTGTGCCCGTACTGCAGGTGGAGGATTAGCCTATTGAGCCACAGCGCTGGCCCAGTGTCATATATTCTTAAAAGCAAATTAATAATAGTTTTTCCCCCCAATGATACCATCTTACGAATAAAAAAATGAGGAGAAAGTTAATGGGTGTACTGAAGCTGATTTGATGAATCCATGATTATTAAGCAAAATTACGTCTTTTAATGTGTGTTATCTACACATTGAGGAGATTTTATATTAGTTAGAAATGTCCCTGAATGTTACATGGATTACAACAATGTGGAATAATAACATTAACATAATGGGCATTCATGAAAAAAAATCTATTATCTGAAAATTCTGAGATCTGTTGCATTAGTATGATTTTTTGAAAACACAAAAGCTGAGTCAGGTATATTTTTATTAATATATGCATAAATTTGGAGAAAACTGCTATAACCAAATATTCAATGGGGAAAGCAGAGGAGGAAGGTAGGTAAGTAAATAGAAAGTAAGTAAGTATTGTCCAAAGATAAAAGGATATGGAAATGAAATGGACAAGAAAGCAGAATAGAAATAAATAGACCAGAAAGGCAAGAAAAATGGAAGAAGAGGTGGGGGAAAGAGCAAGAAAACAAGGTAGAGCCATAGGAAAGCAAAACTCTTATCTGTGACTGGATATCACACCAGAATGTCAAAGAAATACAAAAAGTAGAATCTAATTGAAGTACCTTCTTTTACTTCATCTTTCAAAAATGTTTAAGATGCTATGTTCTTCTTGAATACAACATTATAAAAATTAAAGTTATAAAGTAACATAGTTATAAAGTAACATAACCTAATATTATTTAGTAAGTTTATGTCTTCAATTTGTGTGCAAAATACTCAAGGGCTATTACTTCTATTTATTTTTTGTTCTATCATAAACTATGTACACCAATAGTTAAGAATAGTGATTTAGAAAAAAATTTAATCATACACCTGAGTTTATTCAATCAGAACAATACAGTTTTTAAAAAATATTTTTATGAGTCTTCAAATATTTGTTCAGTCCACTCTTAGATATTTTTAACAAATTAGTAAAGGACTCTTGCTTCTAAGATTATTTATTGTAAGGACTCAGTTTATTAATGAATATCACTAATTGGATATCAGCAAATTCCTGTTGCTCTTAAAAATTCACTACACTTTGATGAGCTTAATTATATGCATTTCATGGATATCACTGGAATATTTCATCAAGATGTGAGCAGAGATGAAACATAAAGAATGATTCCTAGTGTATTTCACATCAGTTCTTCCTTCCTTAAGAAAATATATTTCCTGACAAAGGATCTGAGGAGTTGAACCCAACCATAACTGAAATGTACCTGTATCTCAAGGAGAAAATAATGATCAGGGGGCATGGGCTACTCATCTTTCTGTTGACATTTCTACTAATGGAAAGATGGGTGAATTGACTGAGTCATAGAAAGTATGTTTTTTGTTTGTGTGCTTTACCTTCTTTAAGGAAAGGATCCCTTCTCTGGTCTCTTTGTCAGTGGAGATGGAGAAAACTCCAACACCATCACCGTTTATGATGGAATATGTCATGTCAGCATTTGAGCCTGTGTCGGCATCATTGGCCTTGATTTTCCCAACAGCTGAACCAACTTGAGCTGACTCAGGAACATACAGTTGATAGTGCTCTGAAAGATATTTCACATGAAACTTAACAATAACAACATTCATAAAATGATCTTACAGCAAAAAGGCAATACATATTTCAGCCACATATTCAAATGAACATTAGATTAAGCAATGTATAATGAGGATTTTTTCAAATATTAAAATTAGGATATTATTTTAAGATGAAATACTGCATTTCTGTAGATTTTAGAATATATCTAAATACTTTACATGGAAAGAAATTGTATAGATAAATATTAAATATTTTATTGGCCCAACATTGTTAAGCAACAGAAAAATAGATAAAGGTCAAGTTTATATACTTAAATTAAATAAAAACTGGATTACTAAAGAATTAATGTAGTATCAATTCTTTTCTTCCAAGCAGCATTTCAAGTTCATATATAACAGTATAGAGAACATGGAATAAAACAGGAAAACAAAGGAGAAAATGGCATAGGTTACACAGTTTACTATTTTATAAAAATAATGATATTTAGTAAAATATGTAAGCCATAAAAGAGAAAGATAATAAATATATTCAAAAATCATTTACCATTCTTTCCTTTTTTTAAGTTGAATTGACTGATTATTTTATTTTTTAATTTACTTGACAGAGTTAGACAGTGAGAGAGAGAGACAGAAAGGTCTTCCTTCCATTGATTCGCCCCCCCAAATGGCCGGCCGGTGCTGCGTCAATCTAAAGCCAGGAGCCAGGTGCTTCCTCCTGGTCTCCCATGTGAGTGCAGGGCCCAAGCACCTGGGCCATCCTCCACTGCCTTCCTGGGCTACAGCAGAGAGCCAGACTTAGGAGGAGGAGGAGGATTGACCAAGTAAGCACGGTGCTGGCCCCTACCGTTTATTTCTCTTCAGTTTGAGAAAGGATTTGAGAGAAATTTGTAAGGCATATAAATAAAGTTATCAAAGATTTTAAAATCCTTGTTGATGAAAATGCAAATTAGTACATCCACCATGCACAATAGTATGCAGATTCCTCCAAAAACTAAAAATGCCTCTACTATGTGACCTAGTTATCCTACTTACAAGAGTACAGCCACAGGAAATGAAATCAGAAAATGAAAGTTAACTGCACTCTCATGTTTACTGTAGCCCAATTCACAATAGCAAAGCTATGGAATCAACTTAGATGTTTAAAATGTTCATCAGCTTGGGGCTGGCGCTGTGGCGTGGCAGGTTAAAGTCCTGGCCTGAGGCGCTGGCATCCCATATGGCCGCTGGTTCTAGGCCTGGCTGCTCCTTTTCCAATCCAGCTTTCTGCTATGGCCTGGAAAGCAGTAGAAGATGGCCCAAGTCCTGCACCTGTGTGGGAGACCTGGAGGAGGCACCTGGCTCCGGGCTTCAGATCTGTGCAGCTCTGGACATTGTGGCCATCCGGGGAGTGAACCAGTGGATGGAAGATCTCTCTCTCTCTCTTTCTCTACCTCTCTCTGTAACTCTGTCTTTCAAATAAATAAAATAAATCTTTAAAAAAAAAGTTCATCAGCTGATGACTAGATAAAGAAAATGTGGTAGATACACACTATGGATATTACTCAGAAAGAAGAATGGAATCTTTAAATGTGCAAGAAAGTGGTTGAAATGGAAAATAATTATGCTAAGTGAAATAAATCAGATGAGAAAGACTAATTCCACATGTTTTCTCTAATATATGAAAGTTAATAGAGCATAATAAATGTGTGGATGCGATATACTCAATATATATGGACTTATAAATATTGCCTTCACTGAATTACACTCTCTACATAATAATATACAATTCTTTCCTTACTTTACATCGTTGTCTTGAATCTCACATTATATGACTTTAATATCCCCTTTCAAGAAAATATATATGTGCATAATATCTACAAATGAAGTGAATATAACAAAATGTTAAAATTGTTAAATCTAAATAAACAAGTAAATACTTTAAAATTAATAAATTAGTAGTCATCTTCTAAAATTTATTAAGATATAGAGTCTAGAATGAGTCAGTTGCCTAGATATTATGGTCTCTAAATCCAACTAAATTAGGGTTTATCACAAATCTGTATGCCTCACAAAAGAATTTCTGCTCGTTAACACTGGGGTAAGAACCCTCACCGACAAAGAATCCTACGTAAACAGATAAATCTGAGAGTTATAATGACAGCATTTTAAATCAGGTTGTATTTACAAAACAAGATGGAAAAACTTGGCAAGTAGGTCATAAAAGCTTATGACTCAGAAATCATTTATACCAAGTCTTGCCAGATGGAACATATTCCTGTAAGACACAGATCATGGGTATAGAAAAAACTGATCTTTCACTCTACAGTCTATGAATTGTCAGAACAGTAACTTTTCCCAATCACTATGTCTTATTAGACAATATGGATTTTATTCAAATTGTTTTATCTACTTTATATAAACTTAAAACACTATAAATTGTGAATTATTTATCAATTTTTAGTAGGCAGCCAGTAAATTGACCCCTCCTACTATCCTGACATTCCCAATGCTCATCCCTTGTATAATTCTTCCCCCTTCAATATTGACTAAATATAATGACTCATTTCCATTGAATTCAGTGCAGCAAAACAGATGGGATGCTACTAATAAGATAAAATTACAAAAAATATAGTAATTTTTTCTTTTTTTAAAGACTTAGACCCTGGGCCGGCTCCACAGCTCAACAGGCTAATCCTCTGCCTAGCTGCGCTGGCACACCGGGTTCTAGTCCCGGTCAGGGTGCCGGTTTCTGTCCTGGTTGCCCCTCTTCCAGGCCAGCTCTCTGTGTGGCCAGGGAGTGCAGTCGAGGATGGCCCAAGTCCTTGGGCCCTGCACCCCATGGGAGACCAGGAGAAGTACCTGGTTCCTGACATCGGATCAGCGCTGGCCACAGCGCGCCGGCCGCGGCAGCCATTGGAGGGTAAACCAACGGCAAAGGAAGACCTTTCTCTCTGTCTCTCTCTCTCTCACTGTCCACTCTGCCTGTCAAAATAAATAAATAAATAAATAAATAAATAAATAAAACAAGACTTAGACCCGGTCTCCGAGGTGAGTGGCAGGCCTATAACTTGGGTCATTAGCCACTGTTTTCCCTAGGCCATTATAGAGACCTGGATCGAAAGTAAAGCAGCCAGGATATGAACTGGTGCCCTTGTGGGATGCTGGCATTGCAAGTGATGACTTTACATACTAGACCATAATGCTGCTCCCAATATTGGTTGTTGTAACCTGCTACACGGATTGACTTACAGTGTAGCTCCAGATAAATCATGTGCACCTCTGATGTAGTTATTTAAGATTTGCTGAATTCAATGGAACATTTTTAGTTCTTGTCATCACTGGATCTTTGGTGTGATGTTCAGAGAAAATCATCTCTGTCACTATGCCTTTCAAATAAATGAAATAGATCTTACAAAGCCAAAAAAAAAAAAGAAAAGCAAAGAACACCTGATAGATGGTTCCATAGTAAATTCCGATCAGCATTTCTATTGTTAACAAATAATACCTCAAACTACTATGTGCTTTGGGTCACAATAAGGTCATATGCTCTTAGAGTGTTATGCAGTTTTCAAGAGAACTAAATAAACACTGAGGTGATAATTTTACACAAAAAACATGCACACACATAAATATGTCCTCACAAATATTAAATATGTTATCTACTTAAGTACATACATGTTGTAACTAAATTTTGTCTTCCCTAAATTTATATGTTAAAGCCCCAACCCCTATTACTTCTCGATTTCTGAAAAGCATGTAAATCCTTTTAAATGCTAACTAATTCTATTGTCAGCTTTATAATCTAGAAATGACTTTCTTAAGGAATTAGGAGCCATCTCTCTGAAATGTAATCTTCCAGGAAAAGAGAGACCCTGCCTCACGGTTTCTGCCCCTATATCAGAACTGCAAAGCTACCTCCTGTGATAAAGCTGTGAGAACTTTGTGTGTTTGTTTTTTCTTTAGAGAAAGCCAATTAACTAACAGATGCTATCACAATTTCCAAGTGAATCTAAGATATAGTATATATGACAAATTTCACTATGGAGTCATTTAAATTGCAGAAATTTTTTTTGCTTAAGATCAGGCATGTGATGAGTTTTATTTGAATGACTATATAAAAAGGTGAGATTTCTTTCTGTCACTGTAAGATTTCACTGGATTTCCTGTGATATGTATCACATCAAAGCTTAGCATTTATTTAATAGTGAAATTGTTTCTTTGTTTTCTGCTTTTGTGGACAGGTTTTTCGGAGTTTGTAATTATTTTGATTTTAATTGTATTTTCCCAAGTTTTAAATTTTATTTATATTTCATTAGGGTAAATGTTCACAGAATTATTACTTTATGAAAATATAAATCAGGGTATTGTTCAAATATATTTCTATCTTGTTTCCTGAATTGTCCTTTGGTTGTGAACCTGGGCACTGGCTCTCAACCTCTCTTTATTCTATTTTGTGCCATTTGTCTTGCATGATGCATGTGTCTTTGCTCAGAATAGCCACGCATCAACTAATTGCAATGTAGAGTTCTTGGCAGCAATGAAACATCAATCTCAACACTCATAACCAAGCACAGTGAAATAATTTGCTATTTCTCAAAATAGAGATAATGCTTCCCTCAAAATTAAAACTGGCACCAAGACAGGAAGCAATGGATTTTCTTAATAATAACCAGATTTCTTCAATTACTTTGAAAATTATCTTGAATCATTTCACTAAGGATTTGAGAGTAATGCATACAATAGTGCTGGCAAAAGTATATAGTGATTTAGCCTACTGTAACAATTATGGGGTAATCAAACACCGTGAGTCAAATTAAGCACTGTAAAACTGTTGCTTAGCTGTGATTCTACAGTCCCTTATAATAACAGATTTAGCATTTTTTAAACTTTGTTTACATGTGTACAACCATACATTCTAATTTCATTTCAAAACCTAAGGAGTAATTGGTATCAGGTACCATACAATCTAAGCAAGCTAAGCATTGGGATCTAAGCAATGAACAATATCATTTCACAAGAAAAATGTATT